AATCAATAAGCCCCTAGCCAACCTTATTAAAAAAAGAGAAGAAAGAGCTCAAATCCATGCAATAAGAAATGAAAAAGGTAAAGTCACTACAGACTCAATAGAAATAAAGAAGATCATCAACACCTATTTCGAAAACCTCTACTCTCAAAGGTTTGATAACACAGAAGAAATAGACAGATTCTTAGAAACATATGAAGTACCAAAGCTAGATCAAGAGGATGTAAAACTGCTGAATAACCCAATCGCTACACCCTTCTTGACGAATTAATAAAATCTAGGTTAGGGCCTGGGTTGAGGCCTTTGTTTTGATAAACCTTCATTTTGGCTGGACTCAGGACCCCTTGGCTCCCCATAACTATAAATGTGTCTTGGTATCGTTATTCTTGCCATGGGATACACTAGAAGTCGTAGATTGGAATTAACTTGCTAGAATTTCAGTAATTTTTCCATGTTATTAGAAATGTAAACTTCCTGGATCATAGTGAGGTGGGGAAGGAACCTCTGTAGTTTAGGTACATTGTGATTAACTGACATATAACCTGGTTCAGAATAACAATTTCAATCATTTTATTACTTCTTGAACACTTACTACTGTAAGGCAACGAGAACAAACTTACCAGATTTTACTAACATTTCTGTGCTACAAGGCTTAATTTGCACTAGGGAAAAGCAGAAAAAGTTTTTTTTTTTTTTTTTTTTTTTTAAACATTTTATGTTTACTTAAAAGCCATAGGAGTGATACCTAATTGGTATTTATTTTCCTGGATTTATATTTACTTGGTGTTTGTTTTACTGAATGACATTTTCCAAGGTTTACTAGTAGAGTTTGTTGAATAGAGATTATGTATCTTCGCAGTTTGGTATACCAATGTTGACTGCTGGTGGTGATTCTGATTGATATATTTAATTGCTTTTCTGTTGTGCTGCCCATGCAATACTAAATGCCAGGGAAACTTATTTCTGCAGAACCTGTGCTGTTTAACTATCTAGGATCTGTAATCTGCTCATCCATTTTTTCTAAACAGCCCAGTTCACATGCTGTATTTTTATGTTTTGCATAGTTTTCTTGTCATTAAATTTTTTTCAGGTTACTTTAGATGTAAATAATATTATGGGCTAACATAATAGCATTATAATTATCTGACAATACAAGATCGTTTTCTTACATAATTATAATAAATTATGTAATATATTAACATCTTATAATTGTTAGACTGTAGGATAAATATTATGGAATGCTCATATAATATCTTTCAAAAATTAATCAACTTTATGTTATAGAGCAGTTTTGGGTTCAGAACAGAATATGTATGTGTTAAGTGGGACTTATTTTGATGTTTCTGATAGTCTGTTTTCTATGAAGAAAATCCTGTTTTTCTCAGTATGTACTATTTTTGTTTCCTTCTTTCTAATCCTTGTATACCTCATTTATTTTCTATTATATGCTTAAACATTCAGAATTATGTTGTGATAGATATCAGAAGAATTTCTATGCTGGCCCCAGCACTGTGGGCTAGAAAACCATTAATAGGAGTAGTTATGCTTTAGTTGATTGCTTGGTTGATACTGCATTCAAAACTCCCTTGAACCCTATTCTAACGTAATTATGAAAGAAACTGTGTTTGTTTTAACTTTATTATAAAAATGTTACCCTTGGTATTTAAAATATCATTACTGAAAATGAATTTTGAGATACTCTCATATTATTAGTCCCAGTGTGTACACAGTTGATTCTTATTTGGGTGTTTTGGTGAAGACAGAATTCTAAGTGCTCATATGTGGGTAAGACTTTTTTTTTCCTTTTTGGTAGTGCTGGGGATCAAACCCAGGTCCTTAGGCATATAAGGCAAGAAGTGTACTACTTAGCCACATGGATAAGACATTTTGGTTCCATATCCTGTTTTGTAAATAATCCCCTAATTTAGGTTTAAAAGGAAACATTGAGTCACATGCTGTGGTCCACACCTGTAATGCCTCCCGTCCAGTCCTGAGGCTGAGGTACAGCTCAAGTTCAAGGCAGGCTGGGCAACTTGTAAGAACCTGTTGTAAAACAAAAAAAAGAGTTCTGGGTATGTCTAAATAGAGCACCTGGCTAGCATGTGTGAGCCCCTGGTTTTAATCCCAGAACCACAAAGAGGCAATATTAAAATTATAGTATAATATCATATGTTATAAGACCATTTTTTCAATAGACATGCTCACATTCTGGACTAGTGAGAATCTAGTCATTTTTTACTTCACCAAGATGGTGTTTATGATATTTAAAGTGCTGTTGTATTCCTTCATAATGAATATTGTATTTCAGTAGAAGAATAATGAGCCTATGAGAATGATATTTTTTTGTTGGTGGTCAGTATGATGAAGACATTTGAATCAGGACCTCCAAATGATACAAGGAAAATATTGTAACTCTCAACCTGTTGGAGGTCCAATACACGAAGTTTGTGTGTCCCAAAATTGAAGAGTGAGTAATGGGGGTTAAGAGTAGGAAGTTTTACTGAGGAAGAGATAGCTTATGAGAGATAGGAGGGGTCCCGGGTGGGGTGCCAATGAGGCCCCTTCTCAAAGGGAGTTTTATATTGCAAAATCACGAGGTGGGTACAACATGGCACAAAACTGTGATCAACCAATAAGATGACAGTTTTAGCCATTGAGGTAATGTTGATCCAGTGGAGAATCAAGTCACATCGCGAATGTATATAGAAAGGAAATCAGGACCTTTTTTAAGAATAGATGAATCAGGAGGTCCTGGTCACCCACCTGGGTGACTGATGGTTAGCTAGAATTTATTGGACCAGGTAATACCAAGTACATTATATTGCTTATCGCTTGAGGAGGCATATAGGCCTGGTCATTGTGTTTTTATCTTGAGACCTGGCCTTCAGTGGATGCACCTCCTGCCACGGTAGTGATGTATTCTCCTCTGCACTAACTCCCTTGAGAACCTTATCCTGACTGCCTATAACATTTCTACCTAACTTAACTGATAATTATTTTAGAGGCTTTTTGCACAGGAATATTGGTATTTCTGAACAGTGACTTTGGGAATGTGTAGAGAATCTGTGTACCATTAAAAACGTTCTTCAAATACGGTAGTCACTAGCTACATACAACTAAAATAAAATTTACCTTTCAGTTCCACAGTTATGCCCGCCAGAGTTCACTTCTCCCTTGTCACATCTGGGTAGGGGATACCATTTGGACAGCAAGGGAATGCATTTTCCTCATCATGGAAAGTTCTAGTGGACAGTACTGTTCTAGAATATAAACACCTGTTCATTACAAACAAAAGTGTTTTTGTGGTTACTTTTTACTTTGTGATAATTACTAAAATAAAATAAATTTTAAAAAGTAAGATGAATAAGAAACAGTGAAAGGATTTGTTTCCCTACTCCGAACTTGTTTTGTTTCTAGTTATTTTTGGTAACAGAATGGCTTTAATTATGGCCACTTGTTTAGATATAAAACCCAGAGGGATCAGTAGTTTCCCACCATTGGTCCAACATTAGGTACATCTTGGAAGCAGTCAGTGGAAGATAGTAGCTGCTGGAATGCTTGTTTTTATATAAATCTCATCCCTGAGATTGGTAGATATCCATGTGAAATCTCTGATTTCTCTTAGGACTGTAAGAAGGTTACATCAAAGAGACACATAAGCGAGTCAGTACTGGAAATGTCCGGACTATTTAATTCTCTTCCTTTATTGACCTTGAAATTGTAAACACTGCAATAGAAACAATATAGTCTCTAGCTTTGTTTATTCTTAAAGCCCTTGTAACAATTCAATTAACACAACATTATATGTTTATAAGGTGCATTTTACTTCTCCTGGGAGCAGAAGAGGGTTAAACGCATCTTAATCTTTTATCCATCATTGGCTTTTTGGCTTTAGGTTTTTTATGCCATTTGAATGTTGAGAAGATATAGTTGTTGAAATTATATTTAGTGGGAATTAGAACAAGTATTAATACATGGTATAAGCCGGAATGTGTCATGTTATGGATGTATATAAATAGTTTGCATTGTTCACTGAAGTGAAAGTACTTTGTGTTTGTACATGCAGTTGTATAGAGCTTTTCTCAATTTGCTATTTGTGGTGCAATTTAGAATACAAGTATTAATTATGTAGAGTACGTTAGAGGTTGTTGCTCTCTGGCTCCTGTGCGTAGGGTGTTTAATTCTGAAAGTACAGTGCAGGACAACTTTATATATACTAGATTAATGTGAAAAGATAGGAGAGATGTTAGCATGCAGGAAAGGCATCCTCTGACTTGCTATTGGCACCAGAGATGAAGATTCAGTAGAAAGCTTAGCCCAGGACATAATTGTTCCTCAAGCTCTTCTTCAACATGCAGTTCTTGAACTTTTCTATTAAAGGTTTCTGAGATTCATCAGCAAATTGGTATAAATACAGCCTGCCAGAATACTTGTGGTATTTATTTAGTAAAGAAGAAATGCATACTAAAGATCATTTTTCCTATGAGGGAAAGTCTTTTCTGTAGAATTACTGAACTGCTACATAAATGCTTTGGTGATATTTGGGAATGTAATTGCAGAAATAAAACAATTTAAGGAAGAGACAAGTGCACTGAGATACTTGGAAATCCAAAACCTAGGTTCTTCTTGGAATGAACACTGATATTCAGTTAAGAAATAAAGAAATGTTTCATATTTTTCATAGATATATTGAAAGAAGAGATAATCATGTGTCTGTAATCCACTTTCTAGAAATTTTATTTTACGTCTTAAAATTATTAGTGTAATTATATGCTCCCAACATTGATCCATTCTTAATATATTTCATTATATGTTAACGTTGCATTTTATCTGTGTTTAAGTAGTTTAACTTTCAAAAGTAAAAGTTTAATTAGAAAACATTTTAGAATAATTTTTAAAAGTGTTAGATCATTGGGCATAGTAGAGGCTCGGAATTGTTTTGAATGATCATCGTTACATTCTATCGTATTCTGTTTTAAGTCGTTTTCTGGTTGTCATTACAGCTATGAAGTCTTATACTCTGTATTTCTTGCTCCTGTGGAGTGCTGTTGGGATAGCCAGGGCTGCCAAAATCATCATCGTGCCGCCAATTATGTTTGAAAGCCATATGTACATTTTCAAGACTCTGGCCACAGCATTGCATGAGAGAGGCCACCACACAGTGTTCCTCTTCTCAGAAGGCAGAGATATCGCCCCTTCTAATCATTACAGCCTCCAGCGCTACCCAGGGATCTTCAACAGCACCACCTCAGATGCTTTCATGCAGTCCAAAATGCAGAATATTTTTTCTGGGAGATTGACAGCCATTGAACTGTTTGACATACTGGATCATTACACCAAGAACTGTGACATGATTGTTGGCAACCAAGCCCTCATCCAGAATCTGAAAAAAGAAAAGTTTGACCTGCTGCTGGTGGACCCAAATGACATGTGTGGATTTGTGATAGCTCATCTCTTAGGGGTTAAATATGCTGTGTTCTCAACTGGCCTTTGGTATCCTGCTGAGGTGGGGGCTCCTGCCCCGTTAGCCTACGTCCCAGAGTTTAACTCCCTCCTCACAGATCGCATGAACTTGCTGCAAAGGATGAAAAATACCGGAGTTTACCTCATTTCCAGAATAGGAGTCAGCTTTCTGGTTCTTCCCAAATATGAAAGGATAATGCAGAAGTACAACCTGGTGCCGGAGAAGTCCATGTACGATCTGGTCCACGGTTCCAGCCTGTGGATGCTGTGCACTGACGTGGCGCTTGAGTTTCCAAGACCCACTCTGCCTAATGTTGTTTACGTTGGAGGGATCCTGACCAAGCCAGCCAGCCCACTGCCAGAAGTAAGGTTTGCTGAAATCTGGGGCCTTTTTTTTTTTCTGTTTTTTAATGTGAGGCTCAGTTTTGGTTTTTGGAAGAAATAGTATTGATTATATCCTAGCTAAGGGTTCTGTGAGAAGCGGCTAGGACACAGAGCCTCTCAATTCCTTTGTCCTGAATGAGTTTTCATCATACTAGGAGGTCGTCCTGATAGATGGCCAATGGCCTGGCTGGGAGATAGATTTTTTGATTAAGTAGTAACTATAGTATACCAGAAGAATGTAGTTAGATGGTTAGTTTTAAAGAGCTTAATTGATTTGGCTTTTAATTGAACTCCGAGAGTTCTCTCTCCCTTCTCCAGATAGCACAGTCACAGGTTTCTCTGTTGTGTAAGTTCAAATAAATGTATAAATTGAATAAAAAAAGGTTCTTTGAGAAGTTTAAACCATTAGAAAGTTTACGTCTTAGAATGGAAATGTAGCAAGTAATTTCCATTTAAATAGGAATCCAACTAATGTAAATTAATGAGTAAATGTTACTGTTTACAAGAAATTATGAACCTAATACAATTTCAAAAACAGATTAATCACTTTAAGAAAATCTGTTCACTGTCAATTCTAAATTGTTTTTGCTGGTAGAGCTAATTCTTTTGCTCTTCTGTTCTGCATCCTATCTAGGTTTCAATTAGGTATCCTAAACTAGCAGGAGGTATACCCATAATTAATGTAGTGGGTTTTCCTACCTCATGCTGACTCAGTCTTTGATACTGTTAAATGGAAGCTTAGGGCTTCTTGTAGCATTTTCTTTATTGAAACTATTTTTGTGTTCCTCTCTGGGTACTGCATATGAGTAAGTCTGTCAGGGCCTTGATGGGTAAGTAGTAAATGAAGGATTTCTTCTATAAATATCAGATAAGGACAGTTCCTGGCAGAATTTCCTCATTGGGTAATTAGGTGATTGAGATATCTGACTTGCAGACTTTTTCTGATACAACCATCACTTGTACTTATGCTTTGTTACAGTCCAGATAATATGGACAGACAGACATGACCAGACACATTTTAAATTGATGCAGCCACCAGAAGCTGCAGGAGCATAGTTGTACTCTGTGATACCTGTATAGGACATGGATTCACCTCAGCTTATCTCTGTCACTCAGGAATTTATCCAAGTCCAACTGGAATCCTTAAATATTCTCTGCCACAGTCACCTCGTGATGCATTACTCTCCTTCCTCAAGGCAGCTGACGTCAAATTTTAGTAGAAGCAGCTTTTAAAGGATTTGTTAAACACCTTTGTCCTTACCCTGCTATGGTCATTTGTAATGTTACACAGGTCACTGGTTTGCTGTAGGTTTTTATCTCTACTCAGCAAGCCCGGAGCCCCTTGCTGGTCATTTATACTCTTAGTTGTGAACAAAACTGTAAAAAGACAGCAGTTAATTCTAAACTTCCTTAATAAACCAGAGATGGTGAATACTGAAGACAACAGTCAGATAGAACCATCTGGACTCTGATGCTTTAGAGATTTGGTAATAGAAATCAGCCCCGGTCCAAATGCTCTTGATGACAGACAATGTGTTGGGTCACTTTTGCTTTGGAGTGAGTAAATCGTGGGTCTCAATAATAGAGTTGTTTTAAATGCACATTAGCAATCTCCTTGGGGGAGCCACCTCTCACAGTCACCTTGCTGTCACCTACCTGACTGTCTGCAGCAGGAACCCTGCAAATGTGAATTCAAGGGTAGAAGTTTGGGTTGGATTCCATCCACTTGGTGGTTTATCTACTCTGTCACCGCAGGATTGCAGATCAGTAGAGAACAAAGGTTCAGTTTTTTAAAAAAAGTTTGCTTTGGCCAAGAAGGAGTCTATTTGAATAGATTGTTGAAGTATTAATTGCAAATGAGGTAATGACTTCCAATACAGAATGATTATAGGTTTTAGTAGTTTTCTTGGTGTGTAGTAGCAGTAATACCACAGAAGAACAATACTGTACAGACTTACTTAGAGAGTCTGTTAGCTATTACAATTAGAATGATTCATGTGATAATTTTTAGGTGATTTCCCTTTGGCTGACACACTGTGTTGCCACTTTCCAGTTCTACAGCATTGAACACTCAACAGATTGTGTCTTTGCTGTTGGTTTTTCACATGACATTCTTCCTGACTAGGATGAGGGCACCTCCAAGTGTGAATGAAACTCCACTTGCTCAATTTTGTACCTTGCTTGCTTGCAAAATAGTAGACACTCAATAAGTATTTAATATTAAGTGAACTGTATCAAAAAGAAATAGTTGCCAAAATTAGTTGATTCAACTAGTATAATAATATTGTTAATATTACATCCATAATATTTTAACCATTAACTATTAATGTTGGTAGTATTGTAATCATTATTGCAAATTTATATTCACATTCCATCCCAGCCATAAATTCAACCAGAAGTTCCAGGGTGGATTTATTTTGATGTATTGGAATAGCTCTGTTACTGATGCTGAGATGAGGAGATAATAATCACATATCACCCAACTGGCAAACTAAAATAGTCTCTGTTCCAAATACTTTTGTGAATTTGGATGGTAGTGAAGGACAGGTGAGCTATTGCTATTTTGAAAGGAGGTTTTCTGGGAATTTGACAATTGGTGCAACTAAACATTACTTTATTGACAGGTAAAGAATAGCAAAGGTGTACTTACCAGTCATGGGGAAAGGAAGTGATAAGAAAAGAGATAAAAGAGTGGTAAGACAGATCATGGGATCAGGGACAAGGTCATGGCACCCACTCTGTTCTTTTTTTTTCATGTGCCAGAGCTTCCTCAAAGAAAGAATTCTTGGGGAAAATGAGAAGGAAAAGCAAAAAATTGAGTAGATTAGCTAACTGTGCTGAGACCAGGTTATTAGAAGAATGTGACCAAGCAATAAAACAGTGGCTGCCCATATTTGCTGTTTGTTGCTTCATGTCGAAGCCAGTACTTGCAGTTACACATGGTGATTGAAAGCTGATTTCACCAATAATGAATGAAGCATCTAGGCTGGATATGGCACCAGAGTCCTTGGGGCAGAAAAGCTTGATCCAGGTTTGCAGCAGATGTGGACAATATTTTAGGCTACTTTAATAATATGTTACATTTATAACTTGTGTTGACTCATGCAATTTAAAGATTGAGGTGGGAGTATAACCATGATAGCGTATTTATTGAACTGCCACTTCTTAAGTTAGTATCATTTAATTGAAATGTATATTCTCATGCTGGGCTAGTGGCATACCCTTGTAATCGCAGCACTCAGGAAGTGAGGCAGAAGGATTGGCGAGAGTTAGAGTCACCTGGACTACATAGTGAGATCCTATTTCAAAAGGCCAAAAAAAAAAAAGGGAATATATGTCCTCCATATTTGAGTTTTTGTTTTGAATATCGTCACTCAAAACGACCTTTTATGGAATGATTTCCTCTGTATAGAATTACTGTGTTGTGTTGGTCTATTTGGTGATCAGAAAATTGACTGATGTTTAGAAGAGACTAATTTAATCCCATTTACTGATTCAGAGGACTGGTCTTCACAACATGGTAGTTGGGTCAATATGATAGATCCCTTATGAGAACTCATTTATGTCATGTTTTGCAGTTTTATGGTTTGTAGAAGAAATTTGTCTTTATTTTCTACTGAGAAACAGGCTACCTGCTAGTGAATCTAGCCAGGAAGTACTGAAGCAGCACTGTTGGGGTCATCAGTAAACTATGCTTTAATTCACTACTATAGTATTTTTCTGACTAACATTGTGGTTTAAGTAGCTTATCTGTTGCTTCAAATGCATTATGAGCTTAAACCTATTTCTGGATATGATCAGAAAATCAAACATAAGACCAAAATAAATGAACTTGTTTATTATGATAGTGTAGGGGCGAAATGAACCCTTCTCCCATCCAAAGTTGTCTTTAAAGCTTTAAATAACCTTGAGAATTGTTCCCTCAAGTATTAATTCAAACACTGGCAATGTCAAGAGAAATATTATTCAAATGACCATTTTCACAACTAAATTGCTGTTGGCACCACTTTTTAGTAGGAAATTTTTCCCAAATACTCTGATTCCAAGCCAAATTATTCTGCTTTTGAAATTAAAGTCGTTACTGTCAGGGAGTGTGGCAGGGCTGTGTTTGGTTGATTCTGACAGAGAGGATAGGATGAATCTAAGCTTGTGAAGGTGTGGTAGGATCATTGCTGAAGACACACTTCTTTGTACTTGTATGAAATATTTTTTGCCAACTTTACAGGTATTGGACAATATTTTACAAATTATAAAAACTGATGTTTTTCAGCCAAATGCTTTTGGCCTTTTTCTGTGTATGTGTGTGTATATGTGTATGTGTGTGTATATGTGGGTTCCTATTGAGAACTGAACCCAGAGCCTTCATGCTGAGTCTACATCCACAGCCTTTTAAAATACTTTATTTTGAGACAGGATCTCATTATTAACTACCATTAAGTTGTATAAGCTGGACTTGAACTTGTGATCTTCCTAGGCTCCAAGAGTGCTAGAAATACAGGTGACCATGTCCAGCTTCTGGCCCTGGCTTTTAATTTTGGTCTTCATGTGACTCTGGGATAAGGAATTTGGCCTTTCTTACGCGAGGATAGCAGTATTCAACCGAAAGGGCATCAATATAAGATGTAAAATAACAGCTCTGCTTTAAAGGATATAAGAAAATAGTTTATTTTAAGCCAAATATAAGTAACCATGGTCTGGGGCCCTGGATTCAAGTTACCCTGAGTAACATGTTCTACCATGGGAGAGGTTCCATGAACTTTTATAACAGAAAGTCCTAAGTCAGTACACGGTAGGATGATCAGATAGTAGCCTGCAGCAGGTTGGGGAACACTTACAGGTTTCAGATGTTATAGCATCCTAACTAGAGAGTTGGTGGGGCTAGAGGTCTGCTAAGTTTAGTGGTACATTCCTTGATGTTTAAATAATGTCACAATGATGTTAGACCATAAACGTTAAGATAAATGGCTTTTACAGCCCTTA